TCACCTTCTCCGGGTTAGGCTCGATCCCCCGCCCGCTCATCATGTAGCCGAGGAACTTGCCGCCCCTGACGGCGAAGGCACACTTCTTCGGATTGAGCCTCATGCTGGCCCTCTCCATGATGCTGAAGACCCTCTCCATGTCCTGGACATGGTCCTCCTTTTTCTTACTCTTGATCAGGATGTCATCCACGTAAGCTTCCATTGTTCTCCCAAGTACGTCCTTGAACAACATCCCAATCATCCTCTGAAAAGTAGCCATGGCGTTCCTCAAGCCGAACAGCATGACGATGTAGCAATACACGCCGTCCGCCGTGACGAACGCCGTTTTTTTGGCATCATCGGGGTGCATGAACACCTGATGGTAGCCTCTGAATACGTCCATGAAGCTGAGCAGCTCGCAGCCTGCTGTCTCATCCACCAGCAAGTCGATCCTCGGAACAGGGTAAGGATCCATCGGACAAGCTTTGTTGAGGTCCGAGTAATCGACGCACATCCGCCAAGTGTCGCCCTTCGGGGCTAGTACCACGTTGGCCAACCACTCCACGTGGATGACTGGCCGGATATGTTTGATGCTGAGGAGAGTTGCTGTCTCCTTCCGGATGAAATCACGTCGGTCGGCCGCCATATATCTTTTCTTCTGTTGTATAGGCTTGGCATCCGACCGCACGGCGAGTCTATGGCATATGAGGTTGGGGTCGATGCCCGGCATGTCCTCCGGCCCTCTGGCGAACAGGATTCTGAACCTTCGGAGGACGGCTATGACCCCCGCTCTGACCTCCGGCTCTAGGTCGGCACCGATGGACACCTTCCTGTCTGTCGAGTCGTCGAGCTCGATTTCCTCCAGCAAGGTAGCTGGTTCCAGATGGGCGTCCAAATCGGCCTGTTTGGCCTTCTCGGAGATGCTGTTGACCCAAGCTTCTCGCTCGTTGAGCTTCTCCATGGCCTTTGTGTAGCAGGCCCTGGCCATATGCGGGTCCGTACGTGCTACCCCCACTCCAGTGTCGGTGGGGAATTTGATGGATGAGTGCCGTACGGAGCATATGGCCCCCAAGTCTTCCAAGCCGGGTCGGCCCAAAATGGCGTTGTGGGCGCATTTCAGGCGGACCACGACGAATGTCATCCCGATCCGGGCGGTGTGAGGGCCGTCGCCGATCTCTACTGGCAAGATGATGGTGCCCTCAGCGTCAATGCAATCCCGGTGAAGCCAGACAGCGGGGTGCGCAGAGGGTGCAGCATGTCCTTCTTGAGCTTCATTCCCTCGAAAGCCTCCCCAGTAGAGGACGTTCACACTGCTCCTGGTATCAACAAGGACGCGGCGGACGATGGCATCGTTCACGTCCATGCTGATCACCAGCTCGTCTCTGTGCGGCGCTGGTGACATCGGCGGGACCAAAGGTGATTGCCTCGATCTTGTTGCGCTTGGTGGGGGGTGCTGATACGGAACCCACGTAGAGTGATCTCTCAAATTTTTTCCGCTCGGCGGGTGTATCCCCTGTCTCAGCGCCCCCGAAGATCACCTTGATCTCTAACTTCTTCTTTTTGCCCTTCGGGCCAAGGGATCCCTCCGGACGTTTATCTGCACTTCGATAATCCACGTCCTGAGGTTCTGCCTCGCGCCGGTCGTCGCGGCGCCATGTCCGGGGTCGGGGATTCGGCTTCTGTTGGCTGTTTTTGTTCAGCAGCTGGGTGAACTCGCCCAAGTTCCCCTGACGGATCAGCTCGTCGATTGCTTTCTTTAGTTGGCTGCAATTGTCCGTCAGGTGGCCGGCCCTCTGATGGTATTCACAGTAGGCCGATTGGTCAAGCCCCATATGCTTCTTCATATCTTGGGGTTCCATCAGGAGGCCCTTGTCCTTGATGGCCTCAAAGATTTGGCTCACTGGATAGGCCAATGGGATATAGCGGTCGTCCGGCCGCGTTTGAATATCTCCGGACGGAGCCTTCCAAGGGACCATCGCCCCGTCCGCCTTCTTCTTTTTGTTTGGGGGGGAGGGCCCGGGTCCTGGTCTAGGTCCGAGCCTGTCCGCCATCTTCCGTGGCTGGGCCGCGGGAACTCCGTCCCGCTGCCTGATCTCCTCCTCAATGGAGGCATACTTCTGGGCCCGAGCCAGAACCTCGGTGTAGCTGGTGCCGGGGTTCCTCCTTAGGTCCCGATACAGATCCCCTGTGGCCAGTGCACTGGTGAACATGTTCGTGGCCAGACGTTCGTCCAGATCATCGACCTGCAGGACCTCGTCCCTCCACCTTACCAGGAACCTAGCCAGCGGTTCGTCCCGCCCTTGTTTGATGTGGGCGAGAGCCGTGACGTCCTTCCTAGGGGTGGTACTGGCAGCAAATTGAGCCATGAACTGCCGGGAAAGTTGTTCATATGAGTCGATGGTGCCCGGCCTCAGCTGGCCGAACCATTCCTGAGCCGGCCCCCTGAGGGTGCTGAAGAACAATCTGCAGATGGCCTCGTCCGATGCTCCCAGCATGGACAGATTCCCTTGGTAGCTAATCAGATGGGCCTTGGGATCACCGGCCCCATTGTACACCAAGTTGCCCGGGGGCCTGCAGTCCCGGGGAATCTCGACGCTCATCACCCGGGGGGTGAAGGGTGACGTGAGAGAGAAAGAGGGCGTGGCCGAGCCGATGTCCGTCCGCCTGTTCATCTCGGCTATCTGCCGCTCCATCGCTTCCAGCCTTGCATCCTGTGCGACCCTTCCGGGGGACACAGGGGGCACGGCCTCGATGGCAGTGTTTCGCTGAGCGGCCACAACATCGTGCGGCCGCCTAAGGATTTGCGCACCTCGCCGCTGGAAATGTCGTCCAACGGTGTTGATCCTTGGGGTTTCGTCCCCTCGCGAGACTTGGCGGGGAACTGATGGCGTGTGCGCCCTGAGAGCAGCGATGCTGACCTTGGTTCGCCCTCCCGTTCCACGGGAGCCTAAACCTCCACCTAGCCGCTCATGGACCGGGGGCCGGTGGTCGCTGGACCCTGTCGTATCATCGTACGACTGCATACGGCGGATGGGAGAGAGGGGTGTTCGCTGGGTGCTTGCAGAGTAGACCTGCTCTTAAGCCTCCCGTTCATCTGCCAAACGGCGCATGGTGTCAGCGAGTTCCCGCATGAGGCGGGGGTCCTGCCTGGCCTCCAGGGGAATGAGGTCAGTGATACCCCCGTTTCCCCCGGAGGTCCATATTGTCGCGGACAGCTCCGAGTTCTGGCCGCGATTCCGACGGCTTGACTCCAGACGCTCGGAGAGGTCACGCTGGTTGTTGCTTCCTGACATCGTGCTTGCTGTAGGTAGATTTAGTAGCTGTTTGGGAGAGTTTCTGGAAACTTTTTGTTCAGTTTCCCACAGACGGCGCCAGTGTTGAGGTTTATTCCTTCAACCTTCAGGCCCAACACGTAAGCCCAAAGATTTCGAGTGGAGTGAGTGTATGAATATCTAGCCCAACAACTATTGGATGGATCAGGAAAACAGAGGAAATAGCAGGCAATGTAAATAGGTATTATTAACTTCGTAATAACTCCCCTAAGTACAATCTACTTGCTAAAAGAGGCACGTCGGCCGTTCGTCTTACAAGGCAGTTAGAAGTGCTGCGAGTAAGAATGCTAAAGCTAGAATGCTAAGAATAGAAAGTTGCCAACCCTTTACAATGAAATAAATGCTTCTATTTATACCCACCAATGGGCAGGTGGCTATACTGATGTGGCAGCATGTGGACCGCTGGTGCCCCAACTACCAAATCTTCAGCATTAAATGCACTTCCCGCCAGAATCTAGGTTTCCCGCCTAACCAATGGGAACGTTCGTCCACCCGGGAAGTGAGTTGGATCGCTCCAAGTGACCCTCAAGAGATACTGGCTGTTCGTCTCCTGGCCTTGATGGATAATCACCATGTGGACTGGATTTCCTCCGCTGACTACAGGCTTGCTCCGGAGACGTTCGTCGTCATCCCTGGTGGCACGTGGTCCTGCTCCTTGTCTCTGTATAGACGTTCGTCGAGAGGAGCCGTTGGGCCTGAACCCCCAACCCCAGACGCTCGTCCCTCCTCAAGGAACATGGGCCTGCGGGCTAGCCTTGTGCTCTAACTGGACGTGCGTCCGGTTAGGAGGGGTTAACGGGCCGGACCTCGGCTTGGGCCATTAACCCAACACTCATCATTTTCATTAAGATGACATATGACAAAAGTTGTGTGATTGCTACACTTATTATTGTTTGTGTAAATCTTAGGTTTAGAAAAATCTTAATTTTGATATGCTAGCTTAAAAAAACATTAGAAATCTTGTAGTATATTACGACGTAAGTTTTAGTATTTCAGGATGCTAGCTTTAGGCATCATGCAATTAATTTTAGTATTTAATAATTGCACTGTAACAATACAAAAACACAAGATCATAGGGTGGACGTTTTCATTTTTACTTTTACACTATTGTTGATCTTTTATGCACTTAGTGCATTCATTTTCATTCAATTGGTCAATTCATGTTTATGTTTTTTGTAAAATACGGGAAAAATACGTTTTATACGGGAAGTAGGAGTTTTTTTCCTTTTTAAATGGACCAACATTTCCCCCCTTTTTAAACGTGTTTTTTTGATTAAAAAAAACGGTACGTGTTTAAAACGCGTTTGAATCGGAAAAAAAGCTAACTAGGGTTGCCACACCATCTAATTATTCCAATTTTATTTTTTCTCTACATCGCTTTTTCATCTTTCAACCCACCGGCAATCACTGCCCAACACCTTGTACGACCCGCCACTGGCCTATTTTTCGGATGTAGGAGATCGAGAAATTGCCATCCAAGTTTGTTAATACGAAAATCTGCTGATTTGATTAATAATGCTGAAATTTATGAAGTTCTGGCTAAATTATCTGCATTTGCTGATTCTGCTGATTTAAGAAAAAAATATTTTTAAAATATATGTTATTATTAAAATAAAAAAATATATGTAAAAATAGCTAAAATAATCATCTACAGTAATTTCAGTCGATACAGGCAGAAAAGTAACTTCAACCTTAATTTTTCTGTTTATGACACAGTTCAGCGCGCAAAGCAAAAGTTACATGTTTCTTGAAAAAATGACTCATAAGCCTAATAAGCCGAAAAACAATCTTGTCAAATGACTTCCTAGACAATATACACACAGTACAATATCCGATGTCTGCCACTTTGCCCTTTTTTTATCGTGCCACTTCGCTCATGAAGAGGGTGTTTGGAGCACTCAAAATGGGTTGAAAAGCCTGAAAGTGTCAAAAAAATAACCAAACACTTCATGATTTGGCTGTTTGAGCTGATTTTTATGATCAGCCGAAAAAACAACTATATGACTACTTTTTTAGCTGATTTTTATTATTGTACTATTTGAGATTGAAAAGTCCCTTTTAGCCTTTTATATTGAAATAGGTGCTCGTTGTTTTGGACGAACAAAATATCCGATCCTCGCTTGGGAGCTCCAGATCAATTGCTTCTTATTCAAGGAGTGCTCCATACTTAACTATTTTGGACTTTGGTAAAATAAAATTCAAATAAACCCCACTCCTTATGTTTTGTTTCATTTTATTTTAATTTATTCAAGTGCATGTGAGTTTTTTTATACTCCGTATACTTTATAGAAATGGTATTTTTTAAAATTAATTTACTCATATTGTTAACAAAAAAGTTATAATGATATCGTTTACTCAGAAAAAATTTGTGTAAAAAGTTCAATATAATAAATTAATTAAACATTCTTATAATCACCTAATCAAGCAAAATTAATTCACTAGCAAAATACACTCATATATTTAGCACAAATAAACTAATACCCGTTAAAGTAATTTTACATTCAATCAGTAATTTCACCCAACATATTACCACACTTTCACTTCAACACATTCAGTCTTTTCAACTTATTCAGCCATTACCAAACAGGCCCAAAAAGTGCTCGTAACCGCTAGTGGCAATGTTTTTAATGTGAAAAACCAGTACACAACAAATTATTTAGAAAATTTGGAAAGATAAGTTATGTACTCCGCAATTATTAATGACAATTATTTTTAAAAATAACTTGTTATCTAACCATTTTACCATACAATCATTTTTCTTAGAAAAACTGAAAAAATCAAAAACAATTTTATATAGACTTTAATTTTTTGAAGTACAATTGGGCATGCCACTTGCTGGCATTTTAATAAAAACTATTGAAGACTTTATCCGGTGGTGTAGGCTGCTGATATTTTCAAAGTTTTTTTCCGAAAAATGAGCTGGTAATGGTGTTACTTTCCAATAATAATAATAATAATAATAATAATAATAATAATAATAATAATAACAATAACAATAACAATAACAATAACAATAACAATAACAATAACAATAACAATAACAATAACAATAACAATAATAACAATAATAGTAATAATAATAATAATGATAATGATTTAATGTTAATAAAAAAATTATGAAGTATGAACTATATCCATGTTGTAGTCCTATTTAGGGAATTTTCTTTTACGGCTGAGTCCTAGACTAGCACCAATATCGGACCCGAAACAGATCGGACACATTCATACATTCCTATTGACCCTGTGTAAAAGTAAGTTATCCAATGAGTTTTTTTTACTTTAGTTATCCAATGAGTTAAAAAGGAATTGTTTGCTCAAATTGTCATATGCACTATCAGGCACTTTTCCAAAGTGAACAGCAGAAACTAAGCAACCATATACAATTTACTTCACGTGAGGTTACTTAATCAACTGTCCATATTAATCTAAATTATCATATTTTGGTATAGATATACCTGGACGTATATGTTATTTTGCTTAATATGCTCCATACTACACACAAGTGCCAGGAGCAACAGAATAGAAAAAAGACAAAAATTACAATGCCAACAGAAGAGTGACTGCGCTTTACAGCAAAAGCAGGCAGCATGTGTTTAGGAAACATTTGGTAAACCGTGATGTAATCAAATGAGTGTCTAATGCAAATATACACTAAAAATATACTGCATCCTAAAATACAGTCTTAATTGAGTGAGGTACAATTTTTTGTTTTTAATCAACTTGATCACAGTACAAGCTTTACTTTTACAAGTTATAAATGATCAATTATATACCTCTAGAGCTTATTTCCAAAATTACTTGGAGTGACTTTACAAACAAATTGCTTAGAAAATGAAAATCGACTCTTAAACCATGACTGGACAGGGAGAAAAGATTGAACGTGACTTTTTCCTTTTGAAAGGGATGAAGTGGTTGATTACATTTCATTGCGGTTTATCAAATGTTACCTGAATTCATTTACAGATGATTGGAAGGGTTGTGTGGATGTGCGGGTCTCATATAAGTAAAACCCCTGAAAGGGTTTTCATGTCCTTTAGGACTAGAAGCAGGAGAATCCAGCAAGGGCATGGCAGTCCATTGGGTGTCGAAATTGGCTACACAGTGTTTCCCAGCAACTTTTGGACAAAAACTGGGCTGGATTTCCCGAGCTTCTAGTTTCTTCCAGTTAATGGGGCGGAACCACTTGTGGGCTTTTATCTCATCACTGCCTTTCAGTCCACTGCCTAAGCGCTTGCTTGTCTCCTTTTGTAAAAGCTGAGAATTAAAAAAATGCAATTCCTATTTGATATCTAGAATAGTAGAATTAAACGGGTGATATTGTCAGAAACAATCAAAATACATCAGACCAAAAGTTTCAAACCAAATCACATATAAAAAAGATTCAGACCAGATTCTTCTATTCCATACATTAATACAAGACATGATCTGAAACATTAACCAACTCAGATCAGACCAGATCTAAAAACTTAACATTTCACCGTTTAGACTTAGATTGGTCCTCCCCTAAGAATTTAAAAACAATTCTGTGCTCCTAAATATTTGGTTGAAGTAATAAGGTGTTTTATTTAGTTCACTAAATTTAGATCCAAATTAGGGCTTGATTTGAACATATAAGAATACCCTTCTAAATTAGAGTAAAAGATGCACCGGGGATAAATTGTGTATTTAGTCCAGGAACTGAATCAAGTATTAACTCTTTTTTAACCTACTTGGGAACACTAATATGTGCTGCCAACTAAGCAGGTGGCACAGTGTACCTAACATCTGGGCAGGGTTATGCGAAATTTGGTGGTTTTAGGTAGAATTAGGAAGGGTAAATTCAAGAAAAAACATAGGCAGCAAAGGTGAGCGATCCTAGCTGGTCTCGGCAAAAGTTTTTAGAACTGAGATACAAGAAAAATGATTTTTTACCCCTTTCAACAACGAGTGTGCATCATTGGACAAGTATGCAGGGAGCTTAATCTTATCCTTTATGATCTTCTGCTGAAGTTTATGTCGGTTCCCACCAAAATAGGGAGGCTGCATTGGGAGCAAAAGTAAAGTAAAAACTATTAGTGAACATACTGAACAAGTTGAAATGCAGAAAACCAAGAATCCATGATGCTGCGGCACAGGATGAAATCATCTCACTTTTGGTTCTCAACTTTGAATTTTGGTGCACCACAATTAAGTTATTGCTTTTTTTTGTCCTTTTAAGTCACTTATCCCACAAAATTCAGAAGTAAATTGTACTGAAGTTCAGCCAGATAAGTGATCGGGGACTGAAAGTGGAAAGAAATCCATAAATGTGCATTCAAAAAGTGATTAAAATTAGAGTTGGAGAAAAAGTGGTAATGACCTAAAAGTGAAAATGGAAGAATATGCACCGCATTCTTTGTACATAGAAAATTTAAGGGAAGACTATTTAGGACAAATAAAAACGGAGAGGAGGGAGTACAACAAACCCTTCCAGTGAGCATCTCATACAAGAGAACTCCCACACTCCACCAGTCTGCAGACTTGTCATGACCCTTCCCAAGGATAATTTCAGGTGCCATATATTCCAATGTTCCACACATAGAGTTGAATCGGGAGTTCCCATCAAATTGCTTGGCAACACCAAAGTCAGTTATTACAACCTGCACTCAACACACAAGGCATGTGATGTAGAAGGAACCGAAACAACTCATACTTCCTTACCATACTGTTGGGTAGTATGCAACACAACCTAAAATGATTCTCTAGGAATAAATTTACATCACACATTTAGATCCCTCGCAAACCAAGTAGGATCACATAACTATGGTGTGGACAAATGAGTCTAAACCCACAACCAAATGGCCATATGGCTTGTCCAAAACCATCGAGTCAGCAGGTGCCCCAGTGCACCACAAATCACCAACGGATCGGAACCTTCACATCGGTGGAGATTCTGGGTTGCCTGGCCTGGGAGCATGATATCATGTTAAGCTGACCTTCACTCACCCCTAAATATCCTAAAGATGTGAGATTTACTCCAGCTTTATAAACGTATATAGTAGATCCAATTCCAAGAAACCAACAACGTGAGATACCTCAATATAAGCATTGTTATTCACTTAACAATTCTCAAATAGTATCTATCAATAAAAAGGCATCATACTTGAAGCATTATGATATGATGAGGAAAAAATCTAGTAAAGTGAGTTGTCATAATAGTAAAAGTGAGTGTAACTAAGTGCTAATTACAATAACATCCAAGCCTTAGTCCCAAAAGATATTGGGGTCAGCTAACATGAATCAATACATGATATTGGAGTCAAAAGGGAACAAAAGATAAAAAGATTACGTATGATAAAAGAGTTATAAAAAAGTACATGATATACATAAACATGATAAGATAAAAAGGATAAAAAGAATATATATATACATATATAATAAAAAAGACAAAAGGATAAAAACATAAGAAAGATAAAGAAGATAAAGGGAACTAAAATTTCTTTTCTTTAGACCCAAGTTATTGTTCATCAGTAGAATGTGGTCAATGAAGAGAATTTTTTTGTCAAAATGTTTCAATTCGTAGCCATAGCTGCATAATTGAAATCACTCGAGGAATGAAGACAGTGCATTATATAGGCAACAAATATGACTGTGTGCTGCAGAACAAAAAGGCGTTCTATTAGAGAAGGTAATTATGTTAAAAAAATTATAATAAAAAAAATCCATTCCCTATAGTTTAAATTCACACTTGTTATTTTAATTGTTTGATAACTCATTACTATTGAATATCCCAAATCAATTGTCTCCTGCTTTTGACTATTAAATAGGTGTGAGGTAACACATCCCTTGATGAATTTTTGGATGAAATAGCTCTTGATAAATGTGGTATTAGAGCAGGATCTAATAGTGGTTTGTGTAATGCCAGCCCATTTGATTCTCAATTATAACCCTTCCGTTGTATTGAATTATTGATTATACCGCGTCAATTTTGTCTACTAGGTTTGAGTTGAACCTAGTTAATAAGGTAAAGAGAACTCTTTAGGGTGAGTTATGCAAGTTTAACCATAACTAACATAACTAAAGACATTATTTTTTGCACTAAAAGTGAAAGAGAAAGAGATACTAACATGACCCTCTACATCCAGAAGTATATTTTCAGGTTTAAGATCCCTGTGTATTATTCCATTTTCATGGAGGTGGGAAACAGCAGATACAATCTCAGCAGTATAGACACGTGCTAAATCTTCTCTGAAAGAATACCAAGTGTTACTATTTTATTATTAACGAAATTTCCACAGCGTGTATAGGTAATAAATTATGATTTACATTAATACCTGAATAAGCCTTGACGGCAGAGTTGAAAGAAAAGATGTCCCCCATTAACAAAATCCAAAATAAGGTAGAGTCTATATTTGGTCTGCATTGAAATCAAAGTGTTTAAAGTAAGTGAAATCAACTATTCAACTCCCCCAACTCCCCTGGTAGCAACCACAAACTTCCCAAGCGGCTAAGCATTAATAAAATAAGAAGAATATACATCAAGTCCCCTGAATATTCGGTATAAGGTATTAATTGTAATTTACGACTGTTTTTTCGAATTTCTGAACTTAGTCCATCAATTGTTATAGATTAGATACAATAAGCTTCTCCGTTGAAGTGACTGTTTACACTGATAGTTAGAGTTTATGAGGGCATTCTCAATGTTATATATTGTTGAAAATACCCCCCCCCCCCCCCCCCAAACCTTGTACTCCGTACTAAACAGTGGTTTTCAAGAAGAGGCTAATTGTATCTCAATTGTCTCAGATTCCATAATTCCAAGCAATCAAGGGACATAAGAGCATAAATATGCCCTTGAACTTTCAACAAAATCCTGATTGATCATCGACTCCCCAAGTGCCTTGTGAATCCCTTAACTAACTATAGTAACCTATTAATGACCACAAACTTCAAAGTTTAAAGTAACTTATTACCATTGACTTTAGACATGAAGTATATGCAGGTGCTTACATAGTAATGTGATTGAGGGTGTGGAGAAAAACGTGGGCGATGATAACACCAGTTGCAGAATGCAACAACAAGAAATACACATTATAAATCTACATAATTCAGCCAAAACCATATAAATTTTTTGAATTTGTAATCTTTTTTGTTGTTGCACTGTCTTACATTGAAAACTCGGTCACTATTGGATGTTTTCCACAATATTAATGTTCTAAGTATGTAATACAGATCACTAGATTCGCTAGTTCTTACCTGAAATGAGTACCTAAGGTGCACAATGAAAGGATGGTCAATTTTGGTAAGTATATTCCTCTCACTGATCATATACTCAAGATTACTTTTCTCCAAAACCTTATCTTTCCGCATCACCTTCATCGCAAATATTTCAGAGGTGTCAATCTTCTGCACCTGATAAACTTTTCCAAACGCACCTTGGCCAACCACTTTCAAGACCTCAAAGTCATCAAGACCAACCACTGCTTTTGGAAAATAAAAAGTGCCTTCTTCAACCTTAGAATCACTCTCAAATGAAGACTGGTTTTCCCCATTGGTCTCCTCAGAGGCTCCCGCTACAAGTACCAGAGAGTCCTCATTCTCACGTAACGTGAGTCTACTAAGCCTTTGTGTTTTGTTAGTACATTCTGTTGGACCGACCAAAGAATGAGAGCGGGTGTAAATAATATCTGTCCCTACACAGTTTTCATGGATTGGTGATTGAGCAGGAAAAGGACCAAACACATCAGAGAACTCCAAACATACATCAGTCGGCACCAGGACATCATGCGGTTTCAATGATGGAATCACATTGCTCTGGATAGGTGTCTTACCCGAGAATTGTGAGAACTCCAAGAAAACCATTTTCACTTCAAAAAGTAAGCTTTGGGTCCAGAATCAGTCAGTCAGCCCTGGGGAGGTCAAGACAGTGTGACAACAGGGTCCCGTTCCACTGTGGGTATGAATTTTTTTTATTTAGTTTCGCAAAGAGTCATAAAAATAAATGAGTCGAGATATTTGTTGAAGTTGTAGAGCTAAACTGATTGTGCACTTGCTCACTTGATTTGCAGTGCTAACTGAAGAGTGTCTTGGCTTCAAACCTCACATTTCCTTTGCGATGAGAAGTTTTTTACTTGTTTCAAATTTTAATACAAATGCAAGGATGCCCAAAATATTTCCCGCCTCTGGTCGGGTCACCCACAGGGGGAGAAATGCTCCACTGGTTCTACCCCAAGAACAAAATTATAAAACGTAAAACACCTCACAATACCCTGAAGAGAAGATAATTCTCAAATGCAACAAGGGTTCCAAAGAATCTCTGGATGAGAGGACACAGAATCAAGAAAAGAGTGATGTGTTTGTTTCCCACTTCAGAGGAAACAGAAAGCGCAGTGATGCTTCTCCAATTCATGAAGGTCAGACAAAAAATAGCTGTAGCACATGAAGGCAGCACAAAATTATAGAGATAAAAACCAACAAAATGATAGAAAATTACTATTAGTTGTTCATTCATTCCAATGCTATAAAAGATAAAAAACAAATGAAAGATGCACAAAAGAAGAAGATACTAATTATTACTCGTAGTTTATTATTAATCGGAAAAGTAAATGTTACGAATAAGATTGAATCTAAATCATGTTACTCAACATCAGAAAAAGCTACCGAACTGTAATAATTGTTTGTACACAGTACTTACTAAGAGTTTATTCATTGATTCATTATTGTTCAGTTGATAAGGGATACTCTTCCATAAATCCATACCCCTCACAGAAAGACACCTCTGTAAGGACCCATATAGGGACTAAGCTGACTAATACCATATAGAGAACAATAAGGTTGACTCTAACTCAACCCCAAAGAACTTTAAATGTGAGGATTGTCAAATTTTCATCAGGTTCATTCATATATAGACATGCCAGGCTGAGTTAAGATATCACATTTCATATACTAACCAACTCTACAGAATCCGGGTTCCTATTTAATAAATCGGAATGCATCCTGATACATCCAACCTATGTGAATGATCATTCTTTATTTTTCAAATGAACCACCGAATGAAAATGAAAGTTCTTTAATAAGATTACGATCAGATTAAATCCTCATATGCTTCGTTAAAAAAAACTTTAAACATATCATGTTTCTGCTTACTCGATCAAATCAACCATCTCAAGTTCTGATCCCTGGCTACAATCTAAATATATAATCACAACAACATCTACACAATTTTTCATATGGTTTCTTAAGCTTAGCTGATACGGAGTATTGTCTACATTACAACAATAATCAATCCAAAAAACTTCGGCCGATGTTCCAAGTTCCAACTTTAAACACGGATCAAACCATAAAACATCTATGAATTGAGAAAATCAATGATCTAATAGTGAAAAAACATCATACAGATTAGAGAATCATAGAAATTTTTGGTTTAGGAACTTGCCTTAGAAAACAACGCAGAGGGAGCCGTGGAGAAAAGAGAGGAGACCAATTGGGACGAAAGAAGAGACGTTTGTGATTTTTCTTATGAACAGAGAAATTCTGCGTATTAATGATGAATTGTTTGATCCGTTTCTGCTTCGCGTGGCCGCTTTAAACTCCCATTTTATTTTGAGTAATTTATTATTCATAAAATAAAACATAATCAAAACAGATTATCTATCTTCTCAATTTACCTTTTTCAAAAAAAAATACTCCCTCCGTTCCTAAAAATTCTTCCCGGTTTGAATTGGCACGCTTATTAAGAAAGTGGAATAAAGTGGAAATGTTTGGTTGTGGTTGTGTGAGAAAAAGGTAGAATGAATGTGAGCAGCACAAATCGTCCAAAAAGAGAAAGTGGGAAGAATTTTTGGGAACGACCCAAAAAGGAAAGTGAGAAGTATTTTTGGGAACGGATGGAGTAACTTCTCAATTTACCCAAAAAAAAATCTTCTAAAAAAACAAGATTATCTATACATCTGCTCTAAAAAATAAATATTTTCTATACATCTGTCACCTATTTAAAATATGAACAAAGCATCTCTTAATACTAAAACAATATAACATCATGATTTTGTGCTAATATGTGTATAAAGTAATGACTACATCATTTTTATGTTAAGATTATTCGTAATTATATATATATTCTTCTACTTTATACTATTAAACTCTACATAAATGAATAAATAAATTGTTGAATTTCACAAGGGAAAAGGCTGAGGTGTATGGATACAACTACAAGTCCTCCGACATATAATGTGGTTGTATTTATCCCAATTATTGTGAATAATGATCAATAGCTTTAATCTATGACAGCTCATTTTCAAATGTTTTATACATACAATGAATCAAAAACATAAGGACCCAAGTCTATATGATAAATGTAGATGAAGATATTATTTATATCGGGAAAATAATTAAAATATCTCAAACTTTAAAAGAGTGTGAGGTAAACACTCCAAACTTCCATATGTAATTTAAATAACCCAAATTTTATATAAATAGTTATTTAAGCATCATGGTCATGTATTATTTCTTTCAAAAAAGTAAGTTTATGGTGTTAATTGCATAATTTAAAATAGGGGAAAATAATTAAAATACCCCAAAGTTTGAAGAGACGTGAGGTAAGCACCCCAAACTTGTATATGTAATTTAAATAACCCAAATTTTATATAAAATGTTATTTTAACATCGTGATCATGTATAATTTCTTTTAAAAAAGTAAATTTATGATGTTAATTGCATAATTTAAAGGGAAATCTGTCAAATAGGTCCTCATACTATTTCCAAAAGGCAATTGAGTCCTCGTAAAGGTGGATCAATTAAGTCCATGAAGTGTTAAAAATTACTCAATTATTCCATTTAGCTGGTTGGGAGCCGGTTAATAGGTAAACATGTACACGTGGCGGTACATATGTTTTTTTTTCTTTTTTGATTTTCTTTTCTTTCTTCCTCTTCTCACTCTTTCTTCCTCCCCGCGCTTCTTCTTGCTTCTTCTTTAGCCGCAGATGTTTGAGTTAAAAGTATTTACGGATATACTGCTGGGCTAAAAGTATTTACGGATATACTGCTGGGCTTAACCATGGTCGGGGTAAGTCGCCAAACCGTTTGGCGACTTATAAGTCGCCCAACCGTTTGGCGACTTACCCAGTATCGAGAAATAAAGTTTAAAAAAAAGGAAAGCAAAGAGGGGCAAAATTGTCTTTTGAGACCTGCTAAATTTTACGACTATCGTGTCCGCAGGTCGCTCCGCGCAGGGGGGTGCGAATTTTTGGTTCTGAACTAGAAGCCGGAATTCTTGTGTGCGCGAGAGCTCCCCTATTCTCCTTCACCTTTTAATATTAAGTGATGAGTGGTTCATATTTATAGGCTTCAAACTTTCCAAGGAGTTTAGGTGTGGGAAAGTTAAAGAAGCTCACTTTCCACCTTTGCTTCAAAGTGTACACTTTTCCATCTATCTTTTTCAAGAGCTAGTTTTGAGGCACTTCAAACTTCAAGCTTCAAAACTCCAACACCAAAGGTCAACACTACAATCAAACTTCATGTCCGGTACGTCCGTAGAAACAAAAACGAACCAAACCTATCTGCTATGTTAGATTTAAATGAATAATAGTATACGGCCCAGATTAAATTTAAAAAAGAACCGCCTTCGTTTTTCCGTCTCTGTACTTTACCAAAATTCCGTCATTAGTGACACTCTATTATTGCCATTTAAACATGAGTCCGTATGTAATCAATTAGAAAGGGCTTATTAGTAACTCTACAATTCATTACCATGTATATTACTCTATATATTTGGCACGTTCCTGTCATTACGCAACCACAACTTTAAAATCCATTAATGTTGATGTTATTTTAATATGGCGTGTCCCCACCATTAGGGCTGTGCACGGGTCAGGTTCGGGCGGGTCGGGTTTGCGAACCCTAAACCCGTTCCGGTTTTTTAATTTAAATACTAGGCCCGACCCTTTGATATTTCAAATCGGGTATTTCGGATTTTTTTAAGTCGGATATTATCGGATATCGGGTCGGGTTTCGGATATTTCGGTTATATTTAAAAAAAATTATAATTGGATAATTAAAGTGTTTAAATGCCACTTTGACAAAAATTGTACACACTAGTGCACTAAACTTCCAAATTACACAAATAATTTTACAAAAATTGCACAAATAATTAAACGTGAATGGATTTAAATATAGATTATACATAACTTGATTAAAATGTGAATGGATTTAAATACATATTATACATAACTTGATTAAAATATGACTCTTCTGTCATTTTGCATAAAATAAAAAACTTCCAACTTCCAATTTACGTTGTGAATAACACAAAAATTTTGTCAAATTTTCTCAGGAGCATTTTGTATGTTTTTCTTATGAGCGGGTGCATCAAGCTAGTAAGTTAGAGTTGTTTCCATTTTTGTGTCAGTTACACTTTTGGTACTCGACTTTTAATTTTTTCATTTTTAGTCCTCGACTATTGTGCTAAAGATACTTTTAGTCATCAACTTAAAAGTTTCCCACATTTAGTCCCCTGATCGGGTTTTCGGTTTCGGGTTTTTCGGGTCGGATATCCACTTCAGTTCGGATAATATCCGGAAAAAATATCGGGTTTTTCGGGTCGGATCGGGTTTTGCTCAGCCCTACCTACCATTAATAAACATATAATATGATTATTCACGTTTGTTTCAATTTTTTATTAATACAAAGTATAAGTGCATCGTTTTTACTTCAAACAATTCGTTATTTGGACGAGGAAGACGAGCGCAGAGATGGAAACCATTATCGATCGCAAAATTTGGAAGGAGAGAAGAAATGGGAAGTAGGCGGTTATGGTATGAAAAGTAATAACGAACGAGATTTTTATGATTTCAGATGAGTAATTGACCAAAATACCCTTACGTTTAATTAGTCATTACTTCAAGAATTACCATTACACGGATGGTGATATGAGATAGATGAATGACTAAGATTAAGTTAGTAAGTTAGCATATTAAGAAGGATTTGCACTTGATCTCTAATATATATATATATATATATATATATATATATAGAGAGAGAGAGAGAGAGAGAGAGAGAGAGAGGACTGCTCAGGTCCCTCCGGAGGGACGGGAGGGACCGTCCGAACTTTACTGTTTGGGGCGGTTCCCGGTGGAATTTTTTGATGAAATTGTTTGAGCATGTTCCTCATCAAGTCTAGTTTGTCCATACCAAATTTCAGCTCAAAATTCGACCGGGAAGGCAGTCAAATAAATTCTTGAAACTTACTGCACTTTATATATGCGCAGAATGTGCAGTAAGCTTCAAGAATTTATTTGACTGCCTTCCCGGTCGAATTTTGAGCTGAAATTTGGTATGGACAAACTAGACTTGATGAGGAACATGCTCAAAAAATTTCATCAAAAAATTCCACCGGGAACCGCCCCAAACAGTAAAGTTCGGACGGTTCCTCCCGTCCCTCCGGAGGGACCTGATCTTTTCTGTATGTATATATATATATATATATATATATATATATATATATATATATATATATATCGGGGTGACTCATGGAAGCTTTGATTGTAGTGTTGACCTTTGGTGTTGGAGTTTTGAAGCTTGAAGTTTAAAGTGTCTCAAAACTAGCTCTTGAAAAAGATAGATGGAAAAGTGTACACTTTCAAGCAAAGGTGGAAAGTGGGCTTCTTTAACTTTCCCACACCTAAACTCCTTGCAAAGTTTGAAGCCTATAAATATGAACCACTCATCACTTAATATTAAAAGGTGAAGGAGAATAGGGGAACTCTCGCGCACACAAGAATTCCGGCTTCTAGTTCAGAACCGAAAATTCGCACCCCCCCCTGCGCGGGCGACCTGCGGACACGATAGTCGTAAAATTTAGCAGGTCTCAAAAGACAATTTTGCCCCGGTTAAGCCCAGCAGTATATCCGTAAATACTTTTAACCCAACCCTATTTTCGTAAATACTTAATTAATTAGCATTAATACAGAAAAAAACTCTAGATGTTTATGTGTTTTCCCCTTTCTTAATTAATTTCTAATCTGTTTCTTTCATTTTCTCTATCTTTCTTATTCTATTTCTTCCCACAAAAGAAATCAACCACCGCCGCTCAAGTCTTCCTTATCCGTCGTGGGTGGTCAGCCGTCGTCCACAAGAAAGAAATAAAAATGGTTGCTCTAACTCCAAGCCTCGAAGGATGGGAAAAAAATATTTCAACCCTAATTACTCCAAGCTTCCAGACCCTCCTAAAAAAATAGAAAAAGAAAATAAAAGAAAAGGGGAAAAATCAAAATTAGTGCCACATGGACGTGCAAGTCAACTATTACCGGCAATATTTAATCCCAACCGGCTAAATAGCAAAATTGATGACTTAATTGATTCACGAATAAGTACGAGAACGCAATTGACTTTTTTGCAATAGTACGAGCACCTATTTGACATTTTTTTCTAATTTAAAATATCAAATTGAAAACTTTGCAATTATATAGAGTGGGAGTTAATACTATTTATTTTACAATTGAAGTTTAGAATGTTAATTGTGTCTTCATGAATGCTAAAATATTTTAAATTATGAAATTAACTTCAAAAATTGACATTTAAGAAAAATAATA